ACCTATCCCACCCCTCCAGGCGGTCACAAAGCACCGAGCTGATCTCCTTGTGCTATGCGGCTGCTTCCCACTAGCTATCTACCTTACGTTTGGTAGTGTATATATGTCCATGCCTCTCTCTCGCTTTGTCACAGCTCACCCTGGTAGTTTGGTTTTTAAAGTATTTAAAAATATATACAAAGTCAAAATCTCTCTAGTGTTCTTGAGCCTTCATACAGGAAGGGAAAACATTTTCAACATTTAGTCAGAGGCATGTGTCTAAAACAGAAAGTCAGGTAGTAAGATAAATTATTCCTTGTCTAAACATCAAGGCTGCACATGCCAACAAGATAAACGTGATTTTTTTTTACAATTTGCTATCCATCTTAATTGAGCAAATATATACATAACAGGATTACTCACAGTATTCAGGACACCATCCTATGCAAATCCCAACAAGACAATGTTTTCCCGAAAAAAACACGTAAAAATGTGTACTGCTTATATGACAAGCACTTTGACAAGCTAAGACGTTGAATCCTAAAAATGAATCCTAAAAGTTAAGTATTAGTATCTCCATTTAAAAAAAAATGTTATTGGAGCATAGTTGATTTACAATGTTGTGTTAGTTTCAGGTGTACAGCAAAGTGAATCGTCTGGCGGTCCAGTGGTTAAGAATTCGTGCTTCCAGTGGAGGGGGCACAGGCTTGATCCCTAGTTAGGGATCTAAGATCCCACAAGCAAGACGTGCAATGCGGCCAAAAAAATTAAAAAGTTAAAAAAAAAAAAAGTATCTCCAGTTTTTAAGCTTAGAAAATTAAGTGGTAAAGGCAGAATTCAGAGTATCAGACTTCCAGGTCCTTGCCCTTTGCCCTGGCTATACAAAATCTTATAATAACCCAGAATAAAATAATTATCCTCATACGATGAACATTTATTATTGTAGGCATGAATTGAATAAAAATGTTTTCTTTTATTAGATTATTTAATTAACACTACATGATTATGATTTAATTAAGAATGTGTTATGAGGGAAAAGATAAATCAATGTAGAGAAATAATGTACAAATTGCATTAGTTTCACAAGGTTCTTTATGCATGTGGGGAGATACCCTTTGAAGTGTAACATTATAAATTATGGGTCTGTCATCTTGTAACTAAGGATATTTTTGTTTGACACATTGTTAAAAGCACTTTCATTCTAGAAAATTCAAAACAATAACTTCTATAGTCAATTTACTTTAATTTCCAGAATTAATCACAATCTCATTATTTGATCTTGACAGCACATCTCTTTTTTGACAATAATTAACTACTTGACTGACACTTTCATGTCTTGAAAGCAAAGAACTAATTGTCGTTTGTTCATAGTTGCATTATTTCACTTTTTTATGATCTGAGATAGAGAGAGGGATTTATTTGACATGGAACACTTTTCCTATAATCTTTGTGGGTCAAGGAAATCATGTACATTGCCCCTAAGCTTTAAATGCATTACTTCCTCAAATCAATTTAAAAGCTCATTACTTTAGCAAATACTCTAGTAAGACAATAAGCTTACCACAGCTATGCTGTCAATATAAGCAGGAAATATATAACTTCAGCAAATCATAATGGTTGGTATTCAGATAAGAAAGGGAGAAGGAAAAAAGGAAGGAAGGGAGAAATCCAGGCAGGAAGGATGGGAGGATGTTTTCTAACTAACTTAGCTTATGGAAATCTTCTCCTCTGTTAACAAGAGTTTATTTATTATGTAATATTAAAATGTTCTTTTGAAAGGAGCAAGTAAACATATATATATATATATTTTTTTTTTTTTTTTTTTTCTGTACGCGGGCCTCTCACTGCTGTGGCCTCTCACGTTGACGCGCAGGCTCAGCGGCCATGGCTCACAGGCCTAGCCGCTCCGTGGCGTGTGGGGTCTTCCCGGACCGGGGCACGAACCCATGTCCCCTGCATCGGCAGGCGGACTCTCAATCACTGCCCACCAGGGAAGCCCCAAGTAAACATATTTTTAACCTGAAAAAATATTTTCATATTCTCCACCAGTTTGAGATATCCTCTGCAATATCCATAAAGATTTTGGTAAAGCAATTTTAATAAAAGCTAATAATAAGAAGAATATAATAATGATAATGATCATTTTTCTGAATAATAATATAAAAAACTTATCCCCTATTTTTTTCTAGGTGATTCAGACCATCAGTGCAGTGGATAGAGATGAATCCATAGAAGATCACCACTTTTACTTTAATGTATCTGTGGTAGAAAATAACTCAAGTTTTACAATCATAGATAATCAAGGTAATGCCATTCACTCATAATAACTTTCTATCCATTCTTCTTCGAGAATCTTGTTTAATTTTAAGGAAATTTGTAAAATTACTTTTTATACTATACCTTAAATATGATAATGTTGAGAAATAAAGCAAGGAGTGACAATGGAAATTGGAAACAAAACTCAAAGTAGTGTCCTAGGAATATCATTTCCCCATTTCCCACTGGATTTCTTTAAATTAGAAGCACTTTTTCAAGTCATCTTTGGCTATAGGCCCCTGTAAAGTCTGAATGACCTTGCAAATATAATTGCAGTTCTGACATCATGGTTCCTTTCACGTCTTCACATAACTCAAACTTCAACCCATGTCTGGGGAAGAAAATGATGTTAGCTTGATTGATTGAATCATATAATCATGTTATATATATATAACATGATTATATATAATCATGTTAGCTTGATTGATTGAAAGATATTTGGAGTCATTAATTAGGAGCTATAAGTATTTGGAATTGGCTTAAGACTATGCTTTTTCCTTCAAAACGAAGTGATTATATCAGCCTGAGAACAAAATGTTCTAAAGGATTTTGTACAGAGGGACAGAATTCCTTTTCCTCCCATATAGAAGGGGAATAACTTTTTACAAAGCCACTCTGTTCTTTTTTCCTTCACTTCAGTAAAATATTTTTTTGTCATTACATGGATTTCTATTCTAATTTTGCTTCATATCTCAAAGATATGAAACACCGTAGGATTCATTACTCAAGCATCTATAACCAAACACCTGCAGCTGTCCTTCCTTACAACTGAGTTTAAGCTCCATATAAGGGGAGATCTGTTATGGGAGAATAAATGCAGACACGTTCTTTTCCTTTTGCCTTTGTCAAATTCCCCAGTGAAGGAAACTCAAATAGATTTAGGATTTTAAAAAATGCAAATATTAATATAAGAAATAAGCTGTGGGTTAGATTTGTTTATGTAAATATAAAATAAGTTAGTGGGACAAAATAAATATATTGAACGTAAAGAGAATAATTGATTTGGTTTAATGTTTGCAGTTACAAGGAATTTAATGCAATACATACCAAAAATATATAAACTCTCTCACCTCTTCAATCTGCCTAGTGAATAAAATTACAAGAGTTTTATAGACTTCAAGAGCATGATGGAGAATTAGTTTTTAAAAGGTGATTTGGGAAAAGTCATAAGTAGGCATACATTTCAAAAGACTTCCATTTATTTGCATTTGCCTATTTCAAAGTCTTCCATTTATATGTTTCCATTTATTTGTTTGTGTCTTCTAAAATTTGTTTGATTGCCACAGAAAATATTTCAGGGAATGCCACTACCAAAAATCAAAGTCAAGTCGGGGGGAAACACTAGTACTGAGACACAATAAACTGCACTGGAAAAGACTATTTAGAATATTTTGGGATTGAGGGAGAAGCAATTTCAAATGTGTTGAAGTATATATTGTTTATTTTTGTTAATTTTTTGAATGTTCTGTCTAGGTGAATTAATCAGTACTACCAAGGCTTAACGATTCTCTGAAATTTAAGTAGAAAATGGGTTAATAATGTCAAAGCAAAATGAAACATTTTAATAGAATCTTTTACACCAAGTAAAATGAATTCTTTTGTCTTATTAGTAAATACATTATTTGAGATCACTTGCTGTGATAGGGAGATGACTTGAAAACCTTGTGTATTTAATGGTATTTGTGAAAATAATGAGTTTCTACTAGAAAAAGCACTGTCATGAGTATTTAACCTGAATGAAACTGATACTGTCATTATAAAGTTAATGCTAATACCCCCTATTTACTATTATATCTAATTAAAATGCTGTTTTCTTTTCTGTGTTCCACATGTACATTTCATATATTTACCAAAAAACATTTTGGAACTGATTCATATACTTTATCTAATTTTTAAATTGGGATTTAGGCAATGTCAAAATCAATAATGACTTTTTGAGTTGATCTCTTGTCTTTTTTATCAGAAATTTGCTCTTCCCTATTTGAACTTATTTGATCTCTACACTGCTGCCTCTAGTACATTTAACTGGTATGAATTTCTTTTGTATTATTGAAAAAATCATGCACATGGATTTTTGTTTTAGATAACACAGCTGTAATTTTGACTAATAGAACTGGTTTCAGCCTTCAAGAAGAGCCTGTCTTCTACATATCCATCCTAATTGCTGACAATGGAATCCCATCACTTACAAGCACAAACACCCTTACCATACACGTCTGTGCCTGTGATGACACTGGTAGCACGCAGACCTGCAGTAATAAAGATCTTATGCTTTCCATGGGATTCAGGACAGAAGTCATAATTGCTATTCTGATATGCATTATGATAATATGTGGTAAGTTGTGTGAACTGAGCATATCTTCATTTATTGACAGTAACATGATAAATATAGAAAAGAGTTAATTCCATTATAATGGTATGTGTGGTCTTGTGTGTGTGTCTGCATTTAATTGCCCTTCTTAATGTGTTACAATTCTAAAATCAAGTGGAGTGAATGAAAAATAGAGTGAATATGCACTTCAGGTTGAAAATAGATGATCCTTGAATTCTATGAGTATATGAGTATACCTGTGCCCATCCTTTTAAGAGTGTTTTGGACACACACATTGCAACATATGTAGCAATATAAAAATTAGTAATAATAATGATGAGATTCCATTGAGTGCTTATTATACTCCAGGAGAGTGTCCTAAGTGCTTTACAGAAATTATGCAGTTTGATCCTCAAAATAACCTTAAGAAGTGGCGACTATTATCACCTTCATTGCATAGATGAAGAAAGTGAAATTCCAAGAGTTATATGGTTTACAAAGAGTCATGCAGCTAGTAAATGAAGTGCTAATATTCCATAACACACCTCTATCCAACATGATACTGCAGCTCACTGAAGCCTAGGAGCATTGAGGAAGTAAATGTTAAGATGAAAAAATGTAAAAGAGAGGGTCTTACTTAAAGTGCTAAACACAAAAGAAATAGTAAAATAGCTCCACCTGTTTTTGTCTGTTTTTGTTGCTGCTGTTGTTTTCACAAGGAGATAAGTTATTCTCATTTTACGGATGAGGCAAATGAGGCCCCAAATGTTTTAGCCAGGCTTTCAAAACTACATGCATCTAGCAAAACATTTTCCCTTTCTTTAACATACCAGTATATATAATCTAAACCCTTCTCTTGCTTTCCCTCATAACTTCATATCGAAGCCAACACAACTTTACAGAGTGTTGACAGCAATGGTATCAGCCATGGGTTCTGGAATCCCAAACTCACTGCTCAAAGGGACATACAAAATGTTTCAGAATTTGCTTTGCCTTCACTCTTCTCGTCTGTCTCAAAGCTTTCCTCTTTTACCATTCCTCTTTTACCATTCAAAGTTACCCTTCATTTCTACCTAGCTTCAGTTTTTCAAAATTATTTTTAATGATCTTTGATCATGAAACTGAATTTAGAGCTACATAGCTAGATATCAGAAGCAAGAAGTAGTAAAAACAGTATAATGTTTGCAGAATGCAAGTACTAAGTTACTCACTGGTACAGAACTAAACCTAGTCCCGAAACCCTGCAAGTAAATACCAAGGGCAGCCTCACTGTCAAGGGCACGAGTAATACTGAGAAGGTGGGAAATCAGGGTAAACCAGTAGTCAGCAGTTTCCTGTGAAAGTTTCAAGAATACGCTCTTCAATTTTCATAGATTGAAAAATTATTTATTAGATCCCTTTCTATTTCAACCATATACCTCTGCTGTATTAAAGTACAGTGCCAGGATTCAAACACGATGGCCTTATTTCAAGAACACTATTTCAATTTCTTTAAATGTAAAATTTGTATAAAATATGGCCTAATGTATTTCTCTTTGTGATAATATTAATAACATTACTTCCTGTTTCAATTCTTATAGATGAAATGCTGAACAGCTACATAAGATCCAAGATTGTGTAAGGATTGGCTATCCATGAAACACACACAAACACACACATATACACACGCACTTTTCTTTAAAATTTAAATATTTAAAAAAGCATTCTGAAATTGTTCTGTTTCTACAAAATCCTAAAATTATCTTATATAATTGATCGATGTGGACATACCAGTGTTATGGTTCAGAAACCTGATAGGTTTGGAATTTCTGAAATTAATATGGTATAACAAAGCACGGATTCTGAACCAACTTTCTGGTTTTGAATGCCAGCTTTTTGTTTCCTAGCTGTGTGACTCTGGGTATGTGACTTAATCTCTCTGCACTTCAGTTTCCTTATCTTTAATAGAGAATTATAATAAAATACGGGTATTATAACTAATCAATGAATAAATGTAAAGCTTTCCGAAAAATGACTGGTACATACTTTGTAGTCAATAAATATTAACTTAGAAAATAATTATGCCACAGAATTTGTCTCAATGGCGAAAAACAAATCAGTTCTGTGTACTTAACTTCCACTAACATGGATCATTGGTTACTGAGATTGGCAGATGCATATAGATTCTGCTTTGTTCCATTTTCAATATATAAGAAAAATATAAAATTTTTAATCTTAAATTGATCATCATAAACAATTCACTATATATATATATATATATATTTTTTTTTTTTTTTTGCGGTACACGGGCCTCTCACCGCCGCGGCCTCTCCCGTCGCAGAGCACAGGCTCCGGACGCGCAGGCCCAGCGGCCACAGCTCACGGGCCCAGCCGCTCTGTGGCACGCGGGATCCTCCCGTACCGGGGCATGAACCCGCGCCCCCGGCACCGGCAGGTGGACTCTCAACCACTGCGCCACCAGGGAAGCCCAATTCGCTATATTTTTATGATGTTTTTCTACTTTAAACCATCAGCCAGAAAGATTGTTATACTTCCTTGTCATTCTGCAAGTCCCTTCAGTAAATTTTCAATAGCAAATATATCTTTTTGTCTTATAATCAGAAAATCGAAGCTTATGTCTTGAGCTTGTAACAGAAGCAAGAATTATATAGTTTATTATAAATAACAATATTTAACAATATCTTATATAATATATTATGACATAATATTTATTAAATAGTACATTATATATTTATGTATAATCTATAATATAAAATATTGTAGCATACAATATTTAATAATGTGTTTAGTATAAATATATGATAACATATTAATATATGATATTTATTATATATTATATATTTATAATATAATAGTAATATTATGGGTAATATGAAGCATATGTATTTATAATATATAATATTGTATTATATTTGTGTTAATTAATGTTCTTGTATGCTCTCTTTGACAGGGTTTATTTTTTTGAACCTAGGTCTGAAACAACGAAGGAAACAGACTCTATTTCCTGAGAAAGGTGAAGATTTCAGAGAGAATATATTCAGATATGATGATGAAGGTGGCGGAGAGGAGGATACAGAGGCATTTGACATAGTAGAGCTGCAGGGTGGCACAGTCATGCGGGAACGCAAGACTCGGAGAGCCACCAGGGTAGAAATTCGGAGTCTGTACAGGCAGTCTTTGCAGGTTGGCCCAGATAGTGCCGTATTCAGGAAATTCATTCTAGAAAAGCTCGAAGAGGCTAACACTGATCCCTGTGCCCCTCCTTTTGACTCCCTCCAGACCTATGCTTTTGAGGGGACAGGGTCCTTAGCTGGATCCCTGAGCTCTTTAGGGTCAGCAGTCTTTGATCAGGATGAAAACTATGATTACCTTAATGAATTGGGACCTCGCTTTAAAAGATTAGCATGCATGTTTGGTTCGGCTATGCAGTCAAATAATTAGGGCTTTTTTATTAATAATTTTTTTAAATGCTAATGTGTATTTGCGCAAACTGGTAGTCTCTTGGTAAAGAGTTGTATACTCCGGTTCTTGGGAAAAAGGAAAAGACCCAATTTATAATGTTTTCTGATATTCTTGGGGTAAGTATCCCATGGTTATTTCAAGCTACCCATCCATTGTCACTGACTGCAGGTATGGGGAAGTGAAGCTAACAGTCAGCTCTCGGGTGCCAAGGCAGGCCAGCTCTAGTGTGCCCCTGAAATACTCCTCTGACATTTTTCCAATACCATCCAATACAAATTCTCAAAATTTTTGAAAGTTTAATGTGAAAAGGGCCCTGATCTAGATTGTCTTAATATTATTTCATTTATCCATTTTTAAAATCTTACAAAGTAAGAGTGAAGAGTTTATGTGTGTTAAGTTCCCGATACTCTACAGAGATAAACACCTAGGAGAATCTCGGTGGTTATACACATCTTTTAAAAACTGTTTCTTCTCTATGAATAAGCAAGCGTCTGACTGAGAGTCTATGATTCATTCTAGTTTGATATTTTAAAAATGTCATCAAGACCACATTTTAAAACTGATTTCAAATTTAGACAGATGCTTTGTATCTGTTAATTACTCAAAGATATAGTGTAAATTTGTATTCTCTTTGATATTACAGCTTTATATAAAAAAAGGGACATAGACTTTGTTTAGGAGATTTTCATATGTTATTTTCTTATGTATCCAAAATACATCTTTATCATGTCACAATACTATGATAAAACACATATCAACATTTACTGAACATTAAATTTGAACTTTAAGAAAATGGTAGGAAGTGTGAAATTTTTTTAATTTTAGTTTTTGATTTCTAATTTTATTGCTACTAAAAATAATATAAATGAAAGGAATACTGGATTCAAACTGGAGTTATTATTCATCCTAAATGTTACGATCAGCTGCCTTGCTCTTACCATGCACAAAATAAAACATGATAAAATTCTCAGCATTTCCTTTTTTATTAAGAGATTAGACTATAACTGATTCTTCTGTGTCATTTTTTTTATTATGGAATATAAAATTAGGTACAATAGTTACCTTTATGGTACCATTATGAAGGAAGTATGCTAAGCTGCTGGACATAAAGCTTTAAGGTAACATTAGATAGTAAGATAATAAAACACTTTAATTTTAATCAACCTTGTAAGAATGATTCTCAATTATTCTATCCAAATCAAAGTGGAATTCAAAATTCACAGGTTGAACAGAAAGAAAGTAGTGAATACTGTGTCCTCAAAATAGCTTTATGTGTTCATTTTTTATTAATAGCATGTGAAACTGAGCTGAACCAAATTGACCATATATGTTCTAATCAAGTACTTCAAATAATCTTGAGATAAAGTTGGAGTAGTTCAATAGCTACAATATATTTTTTCTCTGTACTTTAAGACAATACCATCCATACCATGTAATAGAAGAGAATTTTTTCATCAGTATCAATCAGGTACCATTATGTCAGCAACACAGATATCACCATTTTACAAAAGCCTGAGAAAATCAGACTTGAAATACAACAATTTAGGAAGATATTAAATGTAGTAGAGAGGACATAAGCTGTAGTAACTCCTGGTATATTCATATCATTATTTACTTAGGGAAAAGTACGAACAGTAAACAAAAGAAAATTCAAAAATAAAGTAAAAACTTGCAGGTAAAAAAATGTATGGGTTGAGAGAACATTTATATTCCTATCATATGGACATAAAAATTGAAAGAGTATAGTTAGGGAAATTTTCATGAATTATTCCATGAATGGCTGTACCCTGTATTTAGAAAATAGTGCTATATGATCTTGGTTGAACTGGAATGTATGATAAACAGCAGATGAAGCGATCCATGGAAAATAGATTAGAAAAAAAGAAATAGGGTCTTCTGAGGCTTGCAGTTAGTTCAGTCATGAATGAAAGCCTTACAAACAACTTATCAACTTGGATGAACACCTTATATAAATGCAGTATCTGCATCACTAAGTTTAGTGTTTGAGTCCAGTGGCACTAAGAAGATGTGTTAAAATAAATTCTGGTTTAGTTAATGATAGGATTTTCAATCATAGGGTACATAGGAAAAGAGATTCAGGGCTGGATACCTATTTGCTAGTCTAGAAAGTGTCCTTTTAAACTATATCAAGAAAATACTATCTGATTCTAGTAGAGAAGTTGCAATTTTCTAGAAGTTATACTTGGTAATATTTCAATAACTATTTTAACCTTTTTATCTAGTCACACAGCTGTTGCAAGAACACAGCTGTATCCTAAGCTAAAGACATGACATTAAGGTCTCATTTTTGTAAATTTTAATAAAGGTAAATCAATGCGAGGATATTTATGAAATAGCACAGCTTCGCATTAATACCTGCACTACTTAAACAGCACCCTTCATTAACTTACAGGTTTATGTGTAAGTCTTAAATTACTAGTGGTTGAAACAGGAAAATATTGAAATCCTTTATAGGGATCAGAAAATGTTAGCAATAATAGTTGTTCACTAAGCACATAGCTTGAGCCTATCAGATCTGAGTTTGAATTAGTTCACTTTTATTTAAATAATTGCGTGAACTTTATCGAACTGTCTAATCTTTCCGTATCTGAGGTTGTGATCGGTAAAACGAGGTCTAATGTATGTATTTCACACGATTGTTGTGAAGAATAAGTAAAACAGGAAGCACACGTAGTACCAGACAAAACGCAAGAGTTCAATAAATATCAGCCCAGCATCGTAACAGCTGACCTTATTCTGCTGGAATGCACAGATCCCTTTCTTTTCTAGCCCTGAGTGATCCCAAGGGCTTCACAGCGCATTTGAAATATAAATCAGTTTTCTGACCTGACATACAAGGTCATATATTATCCTGTGTCTGCTTATCTCTGTGTGCCCTGACCTCTTCTAATGCCATGCTCTAGGCCTGAAGCAATCTTCCTCCAAACATTTCTATTTTTCATTCCCTCACTTCATTCAAGTCCGTGATCAATTGCAACTTCCTCAGAAAGGCGTACCGGACCACTCTCTCCCACTGTGTCCCTTGCTCTGCCTTTCTTTGCATCAAATCACTCAGCTACTTTGTAGCAAGTACATTATATATATGTTACTTGTTATTGCCTTTATCCTTTATTAGAATGTAAACTCTAATTGAGCAAGGGATTGTAGGACTTTTTCATTTGTTCTTGTCTAAAATTGTTTCTAGCAGATGGTATGTGACCAATAAATATTTCTTAAATGAATGTAATAATGAGTCCCAATCTATTTTACTTGGTCCTCTATAGAAGCCGTATTGACATTGTTGAATATTAATGTGAAATTAATGTATTTTTCTAACCAGGTTAGCACTGGGTAGCTCTGGGTTACAATAAGATTTTTCAAAATCTTTCTAGAAATTATATGAATTTGGTATTTTAACTTGTTTGTACTTACTGATATCATTTCCTGCTGTGGGGAAAGGTAATAATGTTATACTGTTTAGTCAAAACACATCCTTTGATGATTGCTGTAGAAGTTCTCATATGAATAAGTTCCCTTGAAGTGTGATGAATAGGAAAACATTTGTGATGCATGAGAATTCTATGCTTCATATTTTAGAACACAATTTGGTAACAAATGCATTGTTAAGCTCACAGGGCTACACAAAACCTACAAGGTAGCTTCATGTTCTTTTATATGATATAAATAGGCATTAGATATCAAGTACATTAAAAGCTGGAAATAAATGTAGAAAAGGATTATGTGGCTTTTACATATCCAATTACGTCTGTCTTATATATCTATGTACCCCTCCAACCATCCTCCCATCCACATATCCATCTATCAACTATCTCCTTTCTACTATATCCCCTCTTCCAGGAAACTATAATTTCACAATTACATTAGAGACTAGCATCTCAATCACAGATTAGATCCTTGAGACACGTTAGTATTTCTTGCTGTCTTTTTTTCCTAGAGAGCTCTAAGGATGGGAAGCTGCCTGATATGAAATGGCAGGGAAACAGAGAGGGCTAAAACTGGGAAAAATGCAGTTCCTAGCCTTTGGCAAGGCAAAACTGCATGAATTTCCCATAGGTTAAGTGGTTCCAGGTGTAGAAATTTTGCACAGAATGTAGAAGCTGAAAGGAGCTTAAATCAGTCATCCAAAGACTGTGTCACACAGGCTAAGGAAAAACAGGGACCTCTGGTCCTTAAAATGTCTCCAAACACCCAATGCACGAGCTCCAGAATAGAGTGCCAGCAGTCAGATGCCTGTCGTCACACAGATCTTTGGCTGTGAAATTATGATAGAGCCAGCCTTGTTTATATGCCCTTTATCTCTCATCCCTCCATCCCCACCCAGAAACCAGAGGTCCAGATGCAGCAGAGTAAGTGGAACAGGGAGAGAGACAACCACCTTGGCCAAAGTGGGCATAAGAAAGATCAAGGCAAGTGTTTCTTAAAAACGGAATAAAATGAAACATTTTCATGATGTTTCTTTCAAGTTACAAACTAATCGATAAAGTGGATACATTAACATATCAAATCAATTTGGCATTTCATATAGTTTGAATAATTTAAATTTCACCTTACTAGTAGAAAACATTAGCAAAATACAAAAAAAGTAAATATAATTTATAGTGTTCTTAGGACATCTGAAAGCCTGTTACAATAGTTTATACAACTTTATTTCATGCTATTTCTTTGTGCTTATTCATTTTAATAGTTAAAATGTGATATGTTCTTTTGGCTTCTGCAGTGCTAAGTGGTTTATCTCAGCTAGAAATAAGGCTGGACATGGAAATGACCATATATTCATGATTACATAGAGGTACAAATCTATAGAATATTTTGTCCTAGGAAAGGGAATAGAGATTATATATGGAATTCATCTGTACAATAGGGATATTAAGGATATATAACTCATCATATCATTGGAGGAATTAACTGAAATAATACATATAAATAATTAACTGGGCTTAATGTATAGCAAACATGACATTTTTACCTGTTGTGATTCTTAAAATAATAATTATTATAATTATATTAAGTTTAACTTTAGGAATGCTCATAGACTTATCTCCTTACTCTTGAAATATTATGGCCAAAAAGAAAATGAAGTGGAAATGGGCAAAGATGGCTAAAAGGTACAAACTTCCAGTTATAAAATAAATAAATCCTGGGGATGTAATGTACAGTGTGCTGACTGTGGTTAATAAGACAAAAAAAATGGAGAGAAGAAAATGAATTAATTCAGGACAATAATTAACTTGCTGTTACTTCCTGCCTGCACACCTTCACCCTTCCAGGGTAATGTGCCATTATTACCAAAGGAAAAAATTAATTGCTCAAGTTATACATTATGTATGAGATGTTCTGATTGAAAGTCGCTCCTCTGTGACATTTATTTGGAAAAAGACCTGCTAAGTTAAGTAGTAACAACATTTGCTGGCAACTTTTTCTAGGTATAAATATTTTAGAAACAAACTAAAACTATCAAAAAAGAAAGGGTTGGTTTTGCTCACTTTTGTAACTAATGGAGAAATGAAGTTATTTCTATGCTTTATTAGAACTACATGGAAAACGTGACGTTCACATGCTAATGGCTCCAAGAGAAAGCTTTCATACCAGTTGTAATATCTAAGGTCTGATACCCACAGTTCTAATTTTATGTTAAGAATTTAAAATTAAATTACAAAGCAGATTGTTCTCAGCAACTCTGAAGATACAAAACGAAAAGCTGCACTTTGGCTTCTATCTACATTTCCCTGTCCTTTCTCGTTTTAAAAACAAAAAATTAAGGACCTGTTGCCGTATGTTCTC